TAAGTGATATGAGTTCTGGGAATGACAGTCTTGACATTAGCTTAATTAAGCCAGACATTAGTCATTCGTAATTGGCAAAGGAAATACGGCATAAAATATGATGCCGTCTAAGACCAAATGGGACTAATAATTTGTGCTTTGTGCTACCACAGCACCGTTAGTACGAGTGATTAACAAGTCACTAAAATGATCAGAAATACTTACCTTATTGATAATTGTATATTGATTTGTAATAATGGATGCAAGGAAACACTTGGGCTATTTTTCTGAGATAAATTTCACACTCTTGTTTTTCCATCAAGAAGTCTGACTCACTGTTCAATCCTCAGCGCTTCCAGCAACAGCGTGGAAAACCCAATTAATTGTGGGATTCTTTGGATTACTTCTTGCTTCTTCTCTTTTGCCTTTATTCCCGTTCTTAGTAGGGAAACAGGTGGGATAATTCTTCGCTTCCTGAGGAAGATGGCAGAGACGAAACGCACATGCCCGTACAGCTCACCAGACTCAGTCACATGCATATTATTTAGTTAATTCTCTAATGATGTAAAAAAAGTCGCAAAACGTTAATGATTTCTTGCGTGCTTAGTCTCACTCTCGTGTTCAAGCTGCTTTCTAAGTACTTACTAAACCCAAACTTCCTGTATCAGATTATTCACTTTCCTTCCCTTCTTTAAACCCAGCTCACTCTACCCAAGCTGCATTGCTGATAACAGAGTGAGACCCAGACGGAAGGTGACCCCCATACAAACTGCCAGCCACAGTCCATGGGTAAATTTCAGCCCAGGAAAACGGGGTCATCACTGGTAGACGATCAAGTGCTTACGGAGAAACTACCGCAGTATCTTACAAGCAGCTCTTCCTAATGACTTTGGAAAAGGTAAAAAACATCACGAGGTTGGGATCCCCGGAAGAAAGCACAGCGTGAACAAACCCCACGTGTTCTGATAAGGAGGGAGATAATCAGCTCTTAGCAGCAGCCAGGCTTCGGAAGTGAAGGTCCGACTCTGAGAGCCGCTTCTGAAGGGAAGCCATCCCTCTGCGCCCTCGCGTGCCACGGGGGCGGCCTCCTTCATAAGGAAGCCCTCTCCGGCCCACGGATGCTGGGTCAGTACATTCCTTTACTGCTCTCGTCTGTCCCAACCACACTGTCCAAATCTGGAGCCCAGCTCCACGTGAGTGCTTAAGGTCTCTCTGCAAATTGGCTGGGGATTTTCTGAATTCACAGGTGGGCAAAGAGTGGTGACAAAGGACCCAAAACAGGAAAGCAAGGTTTAGAGAGAGGCACCGAAATCCTTGCTGGCGTGATTAATCACTTAACTGGCTTTATATAGCTGCCCTCCATGGAGCTCAAAACACTGTCTCCAGGACCTGCCTAGCCGGGACCGCACAGGACCCGCGTGCGCTTCCCATGCCGTGTTTCCACGTTTCTCCAGTCGGCGAGCCTCTGGCAGGCTGCTCCGGGCTCGCCAGGGTAATCCCGCCTCCTCACACCGCTCCTCCTCACACCTCGATGTTTTGTGCCGTGTCTCAGACCCTCTGGGCTCTGTTGCATAAAGGCTGGCTTCTCTGATAAGTCAAACCGCGCCGGCGCGCTCACAGACGCCGTGAGGTCTCACCGCTCTCAGGGAGCCGTCGTGAGACTTTCCAGGGCTTTCTGAAAAGAACTCCTATGGCGGAATTTACAGGACTTTGGGCAGACCTTGGAAGGCAACAGCCCTCAGCATTTATTCAGTTCATTCCAATAGACCTCTACTGGGTATCGATATGTCCACCTTCACACTCATTCGCACGAGGTTTTTATACGTAGACACACACACACGTCACAGGGTTCCCACAAGCTCCCCATTGCTTGAGGCTGGCCGGGGCTGGGGCAGAACGGGGTGGGGGAGACGGTCCCCTCCCTCGCTGCAGAGCCAGACCGCACTCTGAGAAACAGCACGTTGTTTCTATGTCATTCGACACAGCGGGGAAGTTACAGATAAACTACCTGCCGGATAAGACACACCCGTGGGCGACCCATCCCAGATAGAACAGGTCGAAAAAGAGGGGTGGCGAGAACCTCCCCAACGAGGAGGGCAGGAAACGGGCTTCACAGAAGAAGTAGCATTTGAGGTGGGCATGAATGGGTGTGATGTGCTGTTTGGCCGAGACACGGGTGGAGGAGGGGAGAAGGGGACGATGGGAGGAGGGAACAGGAGGGTGGGGCACTCTGCGGGGGGCACAGCATGATGGGGGGCCATGGAGCAGAAGGGAGGGACGGAAACTATGCCAGGCCCAGAAAGCTTCAGGGTCCCATCACGGAGTCCTTTGCTCTGCAGGCAGAGAAACTGCGTCGTTGTAGAGCAAGGGGACTATGACCTGTTCAAGGTGTCGCTTGGGAAAAGCAACCTGGCAGCCATGGCAGGAAAGATTGGAAGAAGACAGGCCGGGTGGGGGTGCTCTGCAGGACTGGGTGAGGCCGGGCTGCGAGCAGAGGGGAGGGACAGATGTGTGAGACCAGCCACAGCACAGGTCATCATGAGGGGGGCGAGGCCATGATCAGAGATGAGCAGAGAGCCAGGGCTGGCAGTAGGAGGGGTTTGATTTGGGACATACCGTGTTTGAGGACATGGAGGGATTTCCAAGTGAGAGAGTCTGTCGGGCTGTTGGAAATGCCAAGTGCCCATCGCCTCCTGGTTTGTGTGTAGTGACACGAAGACCTGGGCAGTGACGACCGTCGGCTCCCAGCAGACGTCTGTCCATGTGCTTCACGCAAAATCATAGTCTGCTTTGGAGCCGAACTGAGTTGCGGATCATACGTAAGTGACCCAGGCCCATCCCTGCGTTAAACAGCGACATCACCCTGCCCGAGGAGGACTCGGCACCCGTCCTTGTTGGGAATGTGCAGTCTGCGCGCCTGCCTCGCTGCAGGGACTGGGCCCAGCGTCCTGTTCTGCCGCCCGGGATTTCCGTCAAGCCTCCGCCTGCAGCACCAGGGGGCTGGATGCCAAGGCTCCCTACCACACGGTGGCCTGTGTATCGTGAAGAGGGGACAGCGGTGGGCATACAGCTTGGCTCCCAGTGTCCGCTGGACTCGTGCCCACAGAACACGAGGCAGAGGAGCTTGGGGTTCACGCCTCTGCGGCTCATCCGTGCGCGTTCCCGCTGCTTGCCTCCCCGTTGCCCGAGGAGAAGATGTGCGTGAGAGACGCCAGCGCCTCTCAGCTGTCACTAGGTCACAACCAGGGGAACTGGGGAGACGAGGAAGGCTGGGTCTTGAGGAGCCTGCGCTTGAGGAAGATCAACAAAAGGTCAACGCGGTAAGGGCGGCAAGTAGCGGGCGCTCCGCGACGGAGAAGAGCCGTGTTAGGGACGCATGTGGGAGCGTGTGGGCGGGCAGGGCCCCCCAGGATGAAGGCACAGCGCGGAGGAAGGCGGCGAAGAGAGCGAGAGTGCCGGCGAGGGGCCCGGCAGGCCTGGAGGAGCCGGAGCTCGTGGGAAGGGCCGCAGCGTCTGCGGGCTGCGGTCCGCGGGTGGAGGGTCCCGAGTTCCCGCCGAGCGCTCGTGTTCAGGAGGCGGAGCGGGCAGCGCGGTGGCCTGCGTCTGGGCTGGGCGTGGACGCCTCTGCTGGGAGCCCCCTGCAGCCCGGGCCGGTGCGGGGCTGTGGAGAGCCGAGCGGGATGCTCCCGGAGCGTGGGAGGGGTCCGGGAGGGGCCACGGGTCACAGGATCCAGTCGTCCTGCCAGAGCCTTGAGAGGACGGAGAGGCAGAGGGTATGTGAAGGGAGGAGGAGGGGGTCTGCCGGACGCCATCGGCCTGATAACTCCGGAGACGGTGGAGGTAGCTGGAAGTCGGAAACCGGCAACTTTGGGCGTGTGGCCTTCGGGGTACAGGGGCATCCCGGCGATGCTAGTCAGTCGGACAGTGGGTGTGAGTGAGACCGCCTCTCCGAACCGGCAGGACAGAGACCGGGCTGTGGTAGTCGGCGCGCAGAGGTGACCCCGACGCGCTGGGAGCCGACCCTTGCGGGGAGGGCGTACAGGCCGTGGAAGAGAAGAGGGCCGAGGGCCATCGTGGCCGCGCGTGAGGAAGCGGGGAGCCCCGGCCCGAGGGCGTCTAGGTCCCCGTGACCGTGGGCGCTCGGGCCTCAGCCTGGTAGGGCTGCTGTGGGACGTGGGGATCGGATGATTCCATCGCGTCCTTTCTCAGGCGGGGAAACGAGCCCAGTCCGGAGCACGGATTCGCACGCGGGCACAGGCGGGCCGCTCTGGATCCGGAATCGGGAACTTCCCATCCAGTGCCCTGTGTCCACAGACCCACTGCGTTCCACAGCCTCGGCCCCAAGTGTTCATAAACGCGTTCAGCCCTCAAGGACCCAGAGCACTTCAGTTCCAACCCGCACGTTAGGCCGGGGCTCCAGCAGGTATTTTCGCCTTAAGCCTGGAGGAGGCGGAGGCTGGGCTGGGCCCGTGCGCGCGCCCCGCGCCCCCGAGCGCGCCCCGGGAGCGCGCGCTGCGCCGGCCCGCCCTTCCCGACCCCACCTCCGGTGCGCGCCCTCGCGCTCATCCCCGCACCCCCGCCTCAACCCCGGTGCGCGCTCCCGGCCGAGCACCGCCCCCCCGCCCCCCGCCAACGCGTCCCCATCCCCCCGCGCGCGCCCTCGTCCGCAGTCCCCCGCTTCCCCGTCCCCACCCCCCGCCCGGGCCCCGAGCGCGTCCCCGTTCCCGGGCGCCCCTGTCCTCCCCCCGTCCCCATCCCCACCCCCGCGCGCGCCCCCGCCGTCAGCGCTCACCGGCGGAGCGGCGGGCCGGCGGCCGGGCCGGGGGCGCGCTCGGGGGGGCCGGGCGGGGGCGCGGGCGCGAGGCCGCGTGGCGGGGCCGCGCTGAGGAGGCGCCGGGGGAGGAGCGCTCGCTGCGCCGCGCCCGGCCTGCCGCGCTCGGTGCGGGTCCGCTGGGCGCGAGGAGCGGCCAGACCGCGGCCTGCGAACAAAGGGAGGCGGCTGGGGCGGGGGCGCCGCGAGCATGGCGGACCGCGGCCTGGAGGGCATGGCTCTGCCGCTGGAGGTGCGGGCCCGGCTGGCCGAGCTGGAGCTGGAGCTGTCGGAAGGTAACAGGCCCCGCGCCCGGCCGGGCCGCGCTGGCGCGGGGAGGGCCGGGGCCAGGGCCGGGGCCCGGGCCGGGCGGGGGTCCCGGGCGGGCGTCCCGGGCGGAGGAGCGGGGCGGGCGGTGTGTGTGTGGGTGGGTGGGGGGTCCCGGGCGGGGGTGCGCGCAGCCCTGTTTCCGCCCCGGCTGCCGCGGTCTCGGCCCGGGCCCCCCGCGCTGCGGGCTTGCCGGCGGGTCTCCGCGCTGCGGCGGGGCCTGGGGCGGGGACGGGCGCCTGGGCCGGGGGCTGCCTGGGCCGGGGGCGCCTGGGCCGCGCTGCGCCGGCCTGGCGGGGAGCCGTGTCCTTGGTGCGCGTCCGTGCGCTCGCCCCGCGGCCGGAGCTGGGGACACGTCCGCGTCGCACGGCCTGAGGTGCCGGCTGGCCTTATTCTAATGCGAAACTTGGCGTTGCACTTGGGGCTGGAGCCCGGCGGTCCGGGCGTCCTGGCCTCGGCGCAGGCTGCCCTCCGGGGGAGGATCGCGCTACTATTGTTCTGTGTGTTGTGCTGGGAAGGGTGGGTGACACCGCGGAGCCTCCCCCCTCCGGCCAGGTTCGGCGTCTCGCTCTCATCTCTCGGATTGGGGATTTGTGACAGATTTGCTACAGGGATTTCAGGGAGTGTTGTATGCGGTTTCCTATTTGCTCCTAATGGTGGGGTCATGTGCTCAACTGTCATAAGTTTTCCATCGGGTTTTGCTGCCTTAGAAAGGGAGGCACGGAAGTTCCCAAATGGGAGATGTGTAATGTGTATCTGGCGTCCACCCAGCTCACCCTGCAAAGGCCACCACCACCCCGTGCGGCGGGGACAGGCTGGCTGGTTTTGAATTTACATTTGGAGCAGTTCAGCCTGGTGAACTTTTGTGTGTGTGTGTGTGTGTGTGTGCGCGCGCGCGTGTGTAACGGTTTTGTGAGGGCGGGGAGCCAGAAAGTACATTCATTCGTGCCAATTTTCATCAGCAGGGAGGAGCTGATGTTGACTTTATGTTTTCCTTTTTAACACATTCAGGGCAAGGGAGGGATAAACGTGTGGGCCATGGCGTGGTGTTAACTGCCTTCTCAGTTGACCGAGACTGGGCATTTTTCTATTTTTCTGTTTCAAATTTGGGGTTCTGCAGGGTATTGTCATGTGCTGCGATGTGAAGCAGCCCCGTGGGAGGAGAGGAGGCTGTTTCCTGGACTCTGTGTGCTCAGCAGACACTATTCCGGCTGGTGGAAGGCAGTGAGGGCTTTCTGGTATCTCGGAGGACACGAAGGCAGGGGTACAGTGCGCTGGGCTGCTGGGGACCGTACTTAGACTTAAGCTGCTGGATAGAGTGTGCACTGTGGGCAGATGGCTGGAAAGGATGGACTGGCCGTTGGAAAATATTTGCCCAAGTTCTGTGATTTTTGTCGGTGTTCAGATGGGGTTCCTCCTCCCTCTGCGGCCGTTGTGGCCCTCGCTGAGTGCTGTATTCTGGTTTTCCCGATGGCACCCGACATCATGCCATACCCCCACACATGTTTGCTGTGTCTGTGGGACTCCGACAGTACGTGTCCATACCCCATCTGTGTTAGCAAAGTGGGATGCCATCCGAACTCGACGGGACCGCAGCCCCTCCCCTGTCGGTCTGGACATCAGCTCACAGATGCTCCTCGAGGCTGGGACAGTGCTGAGGACGGGTGTCCTGGCCCCGTGCTGCATGGGGAGTGGTTACTTACAAGTGTGCACTTGGGGCAGGCGTACCTGTTCGATGACGCTGGCCTGTCATCAGCCATTCGTCTTGGAGGGTAAGGGATATATTCCGCTGTCCAGAGCGTGGCAGCAGACCGCGGTGTGCTCCGTCTAGTTCTCGGTGAACGCCTTGCATCTGTATAGATTTTTAAAAAGGGCTTAACGAGTCTCTTACCGAGTGTCTGGGCAGAGAAAGGGGTACGTGTTTGCATGTGGGAGGCACGTTATTGTTTTTCTGTCTGCGCAAACCTTGCTAGACCTGGGCTGAACGCTGAAGAATGAAACAGTCGGAGGGTGGGCGCGTTGGCCTGCCCCCCACCCCCTTGCCCCGCTGCCCCCGCACGTCAGCGGTGTCATCTGACTGGCTTTGTCCGCGCTGAGCTGACGGAGCTTTCTTCCAGGTCACTTGGTCACTTGTAACCACACGCAGCAGTTCCTCCGGCTTAAATTAGATGAATCTCCTTGTTTTCAGCGTCGCTTCGGAGAAGCCCAAAATGGGGAGGGTCAGAAATCTGTCTCTCACATTGTGGAATGTAAAAATCCCCCAGCATATCCACTTGCAAGGTGAAAAGTTAAAACAGCTTTTATCACGTTTTATCCTCAGTCATGATTCATGCGGAGAGAATTCTTTAAATTAGCCCTCATCGTTTTATGGCAATATCAGAAACTATTGTGGAAACACGTGGAATTGCCAGGGCTTCGTTCCTGCAGGGGAGGATGGAAAACAGTTGCACTTGAAGCACATAATGAAGGTTGAAAAACCAGGCAGGCTCTTCTCTCGGAGTTCCTGCTCCGCCTGCCTGCCGTCGGTCGGTGTTGTCTGTGGGGCCGGGCTCCCGGACAGGTGCAGTTTGGGTCCGTTGTTTCTGTTGTTACCCATCCCGGTGTTGTATCATGGTAGCGGGGCATGGTTTGGTAAAGGGCTGCAGGTTGACGTCTCGGCTGCAGAGCTCTGATCTTCACTTCCTGCCCTACTGGTTGCCTCCTTTTTTCATTCTCCGTCTGTGACTTCCCTGTGCTTCTCTCACTGCAGAACAGCCGTGTCAGCAAAGTGTGGGGGCTTTCTGCCGGGACATGTGGCCGGCAGCCCCTCCACGGGCGCTGACAGCCGCCAGTCCACGTGTCTGGCTCCAGTTGGTGGTGTGGGGCCGGGGTTGTGGGTTGGGGGCTCAGGGCCTTGGGGCTGGCTGCCGGGTGCCGGTGGAGTGGCCATGGCTCCTTTCCCATGCCCTTTCTCCTGAAGCATTTCTTCTTCCCTTCCAGACATTACTGCCTTTTGGAAACATGCATTTTCCTTTTTGGCTTTAGGAAGATCCCCAAATAATTTCATTAATGGGTAAATAACCATTTTTCCACTCAAGGAAAGACTTTAAATAGAAACATCAAGCCGAGTAGAGAAGAAACAGAAAAATTAATTTCTCTCGGTAGTGAGCGGCTGCTAACCTGACGGACAAGGGGTCCATGCCCACGAGTAGTTCACTGGCACATTCCTGACACCGAAGAGTGACACTGGAAAGACCGGGCACGTTGGAATGTTTGTAGATTTTCAGGGCTGTTGGGCACGAGATAACAGATGCACGTGACTCTGGAACTTGACTCCTGTCCCTGTGTTCTCAGAGGACGGAGGGCCCCATTGCTGCAGACCTCGGGGGTCTGCCCAAGCTGACACCTTAGGACCACTTCCAAGGTCAGGAAGACCCAGCCATGTCTCACACAGCCTATCCGTGTGGATCTCATCCTTACTGAAAGGACACAGCTGACTATGGAAAACAAATGTGTGAAGAAAGTGTTTTCTTGCAGATGCTCCTTGGTAATTTGTCGTAATTGGAGAGGAGGAAGGGGCGGGGTCAGCAGGTTCAGGGAGAGAGCTGGGGGCCGCCGGGACGCCCTCCGTCTGCTGTCAGACCTCAGAATCGGGGACAGGATTTACTTGTTACGTCCATCCCAGAGTTGTCCAATAGCAGGAAGTATTGTGAGTGAGATGGGATTCTTGGCACGGTGGACCTAAAATATTGTTACCTGCGTTTTAAAAAAATATTTATAAAATGGCAGCATCGGTATGTGTGGGATTTGAAATGTGTGGACGTGAATTACAAGAGTTCTTCCGAGTTAGGAAAATAGTTAAATTTGAATGTTCTTTTCTCGATGAATAAATACAGGCATCAAATGTAGCCGGGAAGCTAGGAGCTGGGAGAGTAAACACAGTCGTTAAAGGCACAGATCTGTAAAATTGTAAGACATCTGCAACACTGTAGCTATGCTTAGATCTGAGCCTGAGGGGGTCAGAGTGGTAACAATGACTCTATTTTGTTTTTTACTGGGCGTCTGGCTTTATACCCTTGTTAGGGTTTGGACGACAAGCTGTTGGATGTTGTGAGTCACTTTCTGCCTTCCTCATCCCAGCCTTTTTCAAATGGGTCGTCTCTTTTTTTAGAGCTGGCTTATTTATTTATTTATTTATTTATTTACTTTCAAAGCAGTGATTTATGGGATGAGTCGTAGCATTCTTCTGACTTGTAAAGAGAGTGTATTGGATAATCAGCGTTTTGAATCACTGTACATACGGATTCGCCAGATCAAACCCTCCTCGTATTAGTAATGACCGTGCCCAGTTGCCGCTACAATGGCTCAAGCACCCTGAAAACCTCAGGTTCTGGCTGCAGTTGCCGGACTTCGTTCTGTGTGTCACTGCTTATCGTGGGGCTAGGGGGCATTTTATCGGTGGTACTGGGCAAGGCCCCTGCACGATGTGATGGGTTCCTGGCCGCACTGCATCAGGGTGGCACCATTCTTGCATTCCGGCCTCCCCGTCTCCACACCTGTGCTCTCAAGGTTGCCCACTCTAGTTCTTTTTCTGGTGACCTGTGTGTGTGTGCGCGTGCGCGTGCCATTCAGAGGTGACCTATTGTTACCGGTGCTCTGTTCTTTTCTGCTAAGAGGGACAAAAACTTGTCACGTCTCAAAAGAAGTAATTGCATCCATTTGTTCGTGATCATAATAAAGAGCGGTCTCAAAGAGGAGACGCTAATTGGGAATCCCAGCTGGTGTGGGGTAAGAATGTCGGAGTCAACATGCGGAAGGAAACACTGTTCGTCCTCTCCAGCCATGCCTCTCCTCTGCTGCTTTCTTGGGGACCCAGTTGGAGTTATTAATTTTATAAGCCTTTGAGACAAATAAAGTGGGAAAATGCTAAGATATTAGTTGTAAAAATTAAAATTACAGCAAGCAGTTCCTTCCGGGGCAGGAGGGTTGC